ACTGGATTGCCTCGTCGACGAAGTTAAGATGTTCGAAGAAGTTGTCTACCACTGTCCTTTTTGTGATTAAAAAGCAGTCTACGTGTGTGGATTGGTGTTTTGCTCGCAAGTGGCGTCAGAATCCGGTGGAGATACTGGGACAGTGTACAGAGTGGAAAAGATGTAAAATTTATGATCGGATGGAGCGGGATGGTGGGCTTATGGATCTTCAGAAGAAGCCTGTGAAAATCTGGTGCAGAGTCGTTCCTACAGATGAGCTGTAGGTAGATCGTTCTTGCCTCTGCATGTCCTTTAAAGGTATCTGCCAGAAGGTTGTTCAGTTCCCTTTGGACTCTAGGTGTGGGGTCTTTCGTCAGCTTTTTGTAGGCTGAGCTTCGGATCAGATCCTGAACTTTGTCGTCATACACCTTCCTGACCAGTAGGACCATCGCGTTGCCTTTCTCAGCTGGGAGGATGACAATCTTCCCATTATTTCGGAGCTCACAAATCGCACTGCTCTCCTCTCTCGACATGTTGTGGTGACGCCGTTTTTATATTTTTGATAGTATACCAATGGCCTTGAGACGAATGTTTTCTTGAATGCCCCTGTCAAGTCTTTCCTTTGCTTTCCTTTGTAGCCGCAATGATTTTTAGTAGGGGCGGACACGTTGTAGTCGTGTTGAAAGTGTGTCCCTTTGCCAGCACGTCGTGCTCTGTCGGGGAGAGTTGCCTGCTGGAGGACAGGTTGATGATGAATTTCTCGTTGACCAAACTGGGGTGGCGTTTTTCTTCTTGACGATGAATTTCTCGTTGACCAAATTGCGGTGGCGTTTTCCTTGAAGCATCACGACCTTGCTTTTGTGAGCAGCTTGTTGCTTCTTAGCTGTTGTTGCAGCCACATTTCGTGTGAATTTTTCCTATGCCAGAAAGATGTTGGGCAGACAATGTTGTAGCTGCCGTCAGAGGAAGAACGGGTCTAATTCATTCTTCTTGATCACGCTGTGGCATTCAAGGATTCTGGTGTTTAGCAGGGGCCGTCGAGCTTGCGATGATCTTGTTGCCCTCTGTCGTGTGCACCATGCGTTTGAGCTGAAGGCTTCGCGGAACTGCGTTCATCTTCTGGCAGGTCCTCAAGAAGTCGGGATGAGCCCGGTAGGTCATAATGCCTCGTGCCCCGCAAACCTAACGTTTTGTGAGGAGCGCCGTCTTCTGACCAAAGTCAGTTCGTAAAGACTTAAATGTAAACATTTTGACTGAAGTATGTCTGGCTGGGTAGAAGATTAAGAAAGTTGAATTGCCTCCAGCCACAATCTTAAAAAAAATCAGACGTTTCAAGGCCAACTTCGTCCCTTCCTCATAGGTGACTGAAATGCTCAGGAAAGCGTCGACGCACCTTGTCCTAGGCTCTGTCCTTCCCTTTCGCTCACGTTTCGGAGGCTGTGCACGTAGATCGGAGGCATTGTTCTTAGGAACTGATTCACGTTCGCCGGTCTGTGCTGTAGAAGCCAGACGAATTTCTGTCAACATGTTTACATATAAGTCTTCTTAACCTGTGCATCGCAAGACAAAAAAATGAGGGAACCAGGGTGTGACACCTTAACACCATGATCCACCTAGTTGTGTCCTGTGCCACAGGCGGTTGCACATTAGGCCTTAGTCCTAGCAAGTTGCTTGACAACAATCGGCATCCACCCAGCATCCAGCCTAGGCGCAGAAGAGGCAGCTGCAAGGAGATATCAGCTTTGTAAGGTGGCCCTACTCGCTCGCCACACCCAGGGGTTTATAGAGCGATCAGCACTCAGCACCCACCAGCCCGTACAGTGTAACGACGCCCCGGCGTCGACAAGACGGCAGCGACACCCTACTCCCTGAGCCAAAGAGATAGAAGAAGCTAGTTACAGAAACTCGGACCACCTACGAGGCTTCCAAACTCACTCCCATCAGGCTTGGCCTATAATCAACGTGCTCTCAGCCTTGCTCCCCCAGGATGCGGACCACATGGCTCTCATACCAACAACTTAAAAATGTTCTTAAAAAACACAAAAGAAACACTTGCGAGCAGAAAAAAAAAAAAAAAAAACCCTCAAAGTGCAGACAGCTTGAAACACGCCACGACAACCGATCTCCTTGGTGTCAACAAAGCACAACGCCGATGCTAGCAATGGAAGTCCCACCAAGGCCTAGTCTATCCCGCCTAACAAAAGGTTGTTTGAACCGCGAAAACTGTCGTCTGATGTTCGAAGAGCCCCCGTTGGGAAGCCAACGTGGGGTCTCGAAATTGAGGCACCACGCTCTCGGAGCAAATGGACACAGCAGATGCGATCGGACTTAACCAAACACAGCATTTATTGAACTACATTTCCATTGATGATATCGTCAGCTGAATCAAGTACATCACTGGTTGTCAACGTGCTAAAACAACCTCACGCAATAATTACGATAGATTCAATCATTATAACGACAAACAAGGTGATGCATAAGCGGTGCCATCAACGCACGACTTGCCTCGAGGGGCCCACAGGAAAACAGCCCGCAACGCCAGCCTCATAGTTCTGCCGTGGGAAGGTGACTGTTCGCAGCAGCCACCACACAAAGAGAACTGCGTCTGCTCCATATGCCGCCACCCAGCTTTTCCGCCAGGTGTCACTGCTGGCGCTACCACGCTAAAGTTCCTAAATAAGCTAAAGTAGCTCCAACCGCGCCTCTTCGCCTCTGCCTCCTCTCTCAGCAGCTCAGAAGTGCCCCTACAGCGTTCAACAAGAAACTTCAGACACAGGCACACCCTCTCCCAGTGCACGGCAGAAGGGAAGCCGGTGCTCTGCCTCCTTCTCGCTGGTGTCGTTGTGGAAGCAAAAAAATACATGCGACCAAGGACAGACAAGATGGCGCTTCCACTACCAAGTCTACCAAGCATGCGGGAAGAGGAGGAGTCTGCACGGCGACACGAATGACACTACTGTAGTTATTAGAGGGTTTTAGTTTAACGTGCGCAATGGCCTAGTGTACGAAACATGCGAGATGGGGCAAGAGTGCACATGCACTGAACCTAAGGGAGATACGTGCGTTTGCACACGCAGGGCATGCGCACACTAGACCTAGACGCTTACGTTGCGCGCACTACAGCCGTTGCGTACCTTACAGGCAGCTCTCGCAAGATCTTGAACAGCCGAGGTCAAAACAGACAAGATGACTGCGATCGACAACACTACTGTGGTCATGCCAGCGAACTAAGTCTGTGTGAATTTCAGTGCATTTGGAACTTAAGTTAGTAACCTGAAACAATAAGTGAGCAGGTGCAGTCGATAAAAATAGCTTCTATGCTGGAACTTAACGTTGGGCGACTGGACTACGTCATTTACGAAGAAGCAGGAGCACGGTGTTGACGTGAAGCACCGTGACGGATTTGTGGGTTGTGTACGGGGCGTTGTGTGTGTGATCCCTTTAAACTCTGGTGGTCGTTGTGTGTGTCCGGCCGGGGAATGTCTGAATGATCGCCTGGAAAAGCATTCTAGGTGTTAGGAAGGAAAAATTAGGTCTGGTGATGCATTTAGTGTGCTTCTGGGTGCACGTCCATGTTCTGCAAAGCTCAGGCGATTTTTCTCGCACACGGTGCTTTCATCTATGTGAAAGCAGATATCATGACGTGAAGAATGACACTTGAAGACGACGCTGCCAAATGTGGGCATTTTTTTATTTAGCGTTGAGCAACCCCAGTTTGCTTCTTTATTCTGTATCGTGACCTCATAAAACGTCCGTAACAAACAATAAATGTTTAATGGGCAGTAAGTCTTCGCCGTCTCTGCACCTCGGGCTGCTAGTTCACTTAGCCTCAACACTCCAAACCTCTACTCGTCCCCAGAAAAGATCGCCTTGTCTCATGCCCTGATTTGTGTGTTGCGTCGAATGTTACAACTGATTGCCTCTCCACGAGATGGCGTGAATCTACGCTCAATTTCAGGCCTGTTGACACTCAGGTGCAGTGCACGTTTCAGACATTGCGCACGGTAAACTAATGCTGTAGGACGCAGCCTTCAACGTAGCATGCGCAGTGCGCAGCAAGTTTCGGGCGTACAGCCTTGCATACACTAAACTAAAATTCTCCATCTTTAGGGACTTTATACCGCGCTAACCATGATGATGATAGTGATAAACACTCCGCTTGATGGTTGTGAACCCTAAAGGCAGCCTATGTGTAACACACGTGTGCACCACCAGGCACAAACAATTTTACAGGGCATGTTAGCACCCCCACAAACTGCTAGGCTCGTTCACGAAAGCCGTTGTGGCTGTTGTCTTAGTGTGCTTTTCAATATGGTGTCACTATGCATGTGTGAGAATCGCGTCTAGACGCTGCTGTGGAAAAAAAGGAAGCAGCCGACACTTTTCAAATTTTGGCAATAAAAGTTGTTTGTTTTGCTAGCTCAGGTCAGTTTTTTTTTTTCATTTCACTGCAAAGAAATTTATTTCAACGAAATTATTGTGCACCCCATCAATTTCGCTGTAGCAGAGTTCGGCTGTAACTTACAAAAACTAGTCATAAAATCTTGTAAGATGTGTGCACAAATATGGACAGCTTTACGGAACTCACCAAGTCTCAGGATCTAAGTGCAGAAAACAGAATGGCTATCTATATCTTTGTTTGTATTTATTGGTATTTATTGCATTTAATTCATTGTTGGTGGCCTCGTAAGCGACCAGATGCAAGCTTGCACTTTGTGGTCACTGCGTGCTACCATTTAGTGTGTACCATTTATTGTACTATCGATGTGCCAGGCCTAAACTATTCGACTCATTTCTTTGTTCTTATGACCGTATAAAACTGTGCAGTCATCGAATTTCGGCAAGCATTTACACTAGCAACATAGAGCAACTTGTTTGGTGCGCTAAAAGTGCTTTTAACAGTTGATTTATCTTATGCAAATTTATGTGCTTTGTTATTTAAGATAGGCTGTAATGTTCTGACCCAGGGCTGCGCAGTACTTCGGAGAGTTAATAAGTTTTGCCTGTTTTCATGCTTGCAGCAGGGAATGTGGGAGACAAGTTTCAACTGGAGGCCCACACCGGTAGACTGCTGGCAAGTGCACCACTGGACCGGGAGGCGGTGTCTGAGTACCGGCTCACTGTGGTGGCCACTGACCAAGGCAGCCCGACTCGCACAGGCAGCTGCACCCTGGTGGTCACTGTGTTGGACGAGAATGACGAACCACCCCGTTTTGAGCAGGCCGTGTACAGCGCCAGTGTAGCTGAGGACGCTGCCCCCAACACCACTGTGCTGGCAGTGCGCGCCCATGACCCAGACCTTGGACCTGGAGGTCGTGTCTCGTACTCTTTGGCAAACGAGACGGCAGCCCTGTTTCGAATAGACAGCGACACCGGTGTTCTTACCACAACGGGGTATGTGCACATACACACTTTTATTGCTTACAAATGAGTTTACGTTTTTTTTTCTGGTGATGTATTCAAGAGGCTCTTTAAGTGCACTGTGGTGACACCCAAGCTGTGAGCGAGTGGATAGCTCCAGAGAGCACCCATATAATATATGAATAACTATTTGGCATTAGTAGGAGTGCAGTGACGAACTGTGAGCGCCTACAAAAAATTAGGGTACTCTTTCATGTAGCATGTGAACTCTAAAACATCATTGTGAAAACTGCAAATGATTTGACCTCTGGCACCAACAGAAGTTTCAGTTGAATGCCTCGGTATTCCTTTGGGGCAACAGTGAAACTTTGTTGTACAGCTCAGAGCAGTTATGGTGTACTGTATCTGCATTGTATGTTGCGTGCTCATAACTGCAAACACTGTAAAATGGGTCTTGGACTGCAATCCTCTGTCAGGCAGCAAAATTTGCTATGTGTGAGTAAAACCAGTGTTGGTGCATGAGCAACAAACTGCTCATGCATCAACTTGGCATTTGGAACTATTTTCACCTTATTTATGCAGATAAAAAAAGCTGTGATCACCATAATATTGAAATAAAATGAGCATGCAGAGAAGTTTACGGGTTGGTTATTGTTGCGTGCACCCCCTTAACTCTTTCGTTACCACGTGAAAATGGTTATTCTTCATATGTCCCAGGAAGATCGTTTTAGCAAGTTGGAAAGTACTTCACCATGCATTGCAGCATATCAAAGTATCGCACAATTAAATGCTCATTTCAAAAAACATACATTGTAGAGCAAGAAAATTATTTCTGAACAAATAAACATATGAAAAATGTGTAATATTTGGCTACCGGCTAGTAAACAGTGCAATAAAAAAGACCATATATGCAAAAGTATTCAAAATGAAGAAAATTCAGAATATACCTTTTAAAGATAAATGACCCAGGAATAGTAAAAAAATAATAATAAATGTTGTACGACATGTTTATATTCACATAGACAAATAAAATCATAACTTAGGTGCTGCTTTATTGTTCATGCCATGTGGCAAAGCATTGGTTAGTTTTTCGTGAGACGCAAGGGAATTCGTACACTTTTCTCAGTAAATTTTTATTTTTTCGCTCTCTATGAATCAGAAGTCCAATAAACTTCGCTATTTTGTTTAGCATCACTTCTTTCCATGAGCCACCTGTCTCCTCAAAGGTTGGCGTTTTTATACCGTTGAACACGGATATATCGAACTCGAAAGGGATCATGAATTAGTTTGCTATATCGAAAATTTGATATAAAAGTAATACAGGCCCCAAGAGCTTACCTGTTATAGACCATTGCCCACAATAGGCGCATTCAAGAATGACAACTAGTTTCACACACACGCCGTAACAGAATGTTTATTTGCGAAAAAAAAAACCACTTATCTTGGCCTGCTTCTTCGTTTTATAAATGAAGTTGAATACACTAGTCTCGACTTTATGAAGGTTGTCCAGTTGTGACAGCCCAGTTCCCTCCTTGTCGCCGATACATCGGCGAATGGACGCCGAATGCTGCCGCCACTTTTGCAGTGGAGTATGTGCATGTAGCCAGCGCCTCGTCCGGACAATCCTCCTCTTCACTTGAGCTCTCGGCCTGGGCATCCTGTATTCCTGCGACCGCAGCTACTATGTCCTCATCAGTGAGGCTTGCAACGGCCTGAACATTGCAGTCCGCTTCCACGAAATTGTGTGCACACACTTCAACGGAACAGCTCTCAGGAAGAGAGGTGGCAACTCGCGAAACACGTTATCTAAACGCTTGTCATCACCGTTTTCACCGGTTTACGCTGTCACATGACAGGCTCCCGGCGTTAGCTGCTCCGCCACCTTTGCCTTGTGATCTGCCTTGCTCTTCAGCAATTTACTAGGAGTGCTACGTGGTATCTGAAGTCGTCTGCGACGGTCGAGCATTTCTCACCAGCCTCAACACGCTGATTAGCCTTAAACTTTGTCACGAAGTCAAGGGTCTTGCGCTTCTTGATGCTGGCCATAGCTACACAGAAGTCTACAATTCAAGGAGTCGGCAGCGGCTTTGCACACAATGCACGCAAAAGAAGAATGCTGCACATGCAGGGGTACGTAGACGGTGCGACAATGGAAGCGGACTTTGCCAGGGGGCACCTAGACTCCGCCAACAAAGCCCTCGCGTAGCGATGGTTACCGGCAAGAGCAACAGCAAAAAGCGTGAGCTGTGGTTGGCTGATCAAAACTCGCAAATCAGCAACACAAAATAGAAGGTGAAAGGAAAAGCACTTTGGCTCCTTCGTTCCTGTTCTCCGAGCTGATGGGTACGTGGAGAAAGCATGAGAGAAAGAGAAACGAGAGAAAAAAAAGAGCCGGGCCCCAGGTTGGAGACCATGCTGTCCAAGCCCTCTCGCCCTTACCTTTTTTCGAGTGTTTCGGGTTTTGACTGAGGCACGTAGGTCGCCAGTCACTGCGAGTGGCAAAGCGCACTTCCAACTCGTGTGCAGAGCCGCGCTACTGCAGATATCGCCGGGCGCGGCAAGTGCCGAAGCGCACCTTCCAGCTCGTGCGGTGTTCGATATATCCAAAGGTAGGCAAAAGTACCATTCAATATAAACGTGCGAATTTCTACACTTTTACAAAGAAATTTCAAGGGGATAACTTGCGAGTTCGATATACCCGAAAATTCGATATACAGTCGCCCGCCGACCATTTATTTGGACGTCTTCATGGCACCGCCACTCGCCCCATTGAACCTAATGTAAACTCACGACCGAAAATTCGGACGCCCCGCGGTGCGCCGTTTGATTATTTGGACTCCGTTTGACTGACCGGATGCATCGCCGTACGCCATAACACGCTGACAGCGATGTTAACAATACAATTTTTAGGTTGCCAGCACTGATATGCTGCACTAGCTATAGATGTACGTCGGGCTATTGCCAATCTCGAAGGCTATGTTTGGTGACACGTTTTTTGTTTTGTTTTGTTTTAGCCAGTCCAGCAGCCAAGCCAAGCCACTTACAAAGTCTGTTCACTGTGGCATTTGGCTTTTGTGTGAGCGTGTCAGTGGTGTCAGTCAGTTGCTTCTGCGGGTAGGCCTGGTTTGTCTTGTTCTCTGTGTTCTCGTTCTCTTGCGTGTTCCGTGGCTTGCTGAAATGGCTCCGACGCCACCCATTGGCGTGTTTGACAACTGTATGCTGGAGAACGCGTGAGAGAGAAGGGAGACACCCATGTCGTCTGCTACGCCGCTTATTGGCTACCAGCGCTGCAACGTCATTTTCGCGTAATGCTTGACGCCCTTGTCTGTCCTCGCCGCCGCCGCGCTCGCGGCGTGAGGAGCAAGTGATCGCTGTGCTGTGTTGTGTCAATATGTCAGTGATTTGACTGCTTTGGGGTTGTGTCCGAACTACTGAAGCCGTAAGTAAACAGTGTGGGCTGACTGCGTGGATAGGCGGCATCTGCACACTCGTGGCATTACGACAAGTAGTAGACGGACAAGATTTACGCGTTGGAGCGAGACGTACAGCCGTGGCCGTGGGGTTCCGTTGCGTGGGGAGCTCGTTTTTCGCCACGCGTGTTTTACTCATGCCTAAGTTTTAATCCTCTATAGTAGCTGTTTTAATCCCCATTCTAACGGCCGTACCCTGCCGTTCATGTTTTGAGCAGTTTCCAGTGCTTGCATTTGCTTGCGAGTTTTAAACAGACCAGTACCGACTTGTCTAAATCCAACATTTTGTAATGTACATACCAATCGGCCCATTTCAGTTCGCTAATGCAGGTGAACTTCCTTAATTTTGTTTCTTAAAACACTGTTTACTCTTCAGCACAGCTTACGTGTTCAAGTCAATATACGTCAAGTTTATAAAACAGTTATGGAAGAGCTATATTGCAATAATATTACATTAGCAGGTCCCAGAGTTCAGAAAAACTGCTGGGACCTTATTGTGAATATGCATGTTGCCTGTCTGAAGCCCTCAACATGAAGGCAGCAAGAGTGACTCACAGCGAAGGCTTAATGTGAAAGTGTAGAAATAATAAAGTAAGTTAGTTGCATTTAAAAATAAAAAAAAAGTGCTGAAACTGGAGGAAGCCGATAACATTATTCACAGGATGTTTACTTTTTCTGTCCATTAGTACTTGCTTACTTATAATAAAGCACCCGATCCCCTCTGAAGCATGAAACCATATAGGTAACACTGTAAAGTTAAAAATTACTGATGCTAACTTTATTTGTGTGCATTTACTTTCCCACTCCCTCCTGCGATGCCCTTAGGCCTTGGAAGTAATACAAATAAAACAACTGGCGTAAACATGCTCTTGCAGAAATTTATTGAAAGCTAAAGTCACCCTTAACCACCATTTAGTTTTCTTTAGCACCATCTGCCTGTGATGTATCTTTTTTTCCTATTTGTCATTGTAGTAAGCTACTCGGTACAATCACAGTGATACATTTGGGAGCCACGCTCATGTTCTCAAATCTGGTTTTTGTTTTACACTGAAACTACCCCACATCTTCCTGATTTTGCTTCAAATATTACCCACGGTCACCTGCAAGTTATAAATTTGCAGTATTTTGGAGAATGACTGCTGCACAAAGTCCACAAAACTGTGACAGGCATCATGAACACTGCGTTGTCAAGTAACTAGGCAGTTCATTTTAAATTAGGACATACTCAGTGATTGAACAACTGTTTCACGTTTTTGCGCCGCTCTCGCTGCAGGTAAAAAAAACCGACTGGGGTGTATTATGAGCACTTGATAGTTTAAACTCGCAACTACTAACGATATGCATCGATCGTGTAGGCAAGACCGTCGGTAGCCTCGAAATTGCTCAAAACATGAACGGTGACGTACGACCGTTCCTGCAGCAGCATAATAAGCCGACCAGATTAAAACTTGACGTGCCTTTAACAGCCATGACGAACATGCTGCGAAATCTATGGGAAAATACGAGCCCTGATGTTAGCGACGCTGCGGCAAACAAATACGTCTTGTGTTCAGTCTGTCTACTCAATTTGCCCAAGATTGTTTACTCAAGGTTTTAGTAGTTCGGAAACAACCAAAGAGCAATCTGATTTACAAAACACACCACACACACAGCTGCTCTGAGCACTGGCGCTACCCGCGAGTCCGCGAAGGCCTTGGCTGCTGGTGCGGCAACCGCAAGAAACAGCAAAAATTCTAACTGAATGCGGAAATGACGTTCGTGGTAGCCGCTGCCAATGAGCGCCGTAGCAGACGACATGGGCATCTCCCCTCTCTCACGCACGTTCTCCAGCATACAGCAGTGAAAAAACGCTACCAACGTGTCAGCTGCAAGAGGCCCACGATGGCGAAGAAAGCGGAGGTAATTCGCCAGGTAGAAGGCGGCTGACCTCAGTCTGAAGTTGCTCGGGAATTTTCTATTTTCAAGCAAACCGTCCTGGACTACCTCAAGCAGAAGGCTAAGATCCTGGAGGCAACTGAGAGGCAGATCCTGGAGGCAGCTTTTTCTGCGTCTGCAAATACGCAGAAAAAGTTCCGGGACGGCAGCCTCCCGCAGCTTAAAGAAGCGGCACTGAACATGTGGTTGAGTTCCACGGTGGCTAGGAAAATACCTGTGTCTGGCGATCTGCTGAGACAGAAAGCAGAGATGCTCCCCCTGTGCATGGGTATTACTGGCTGCAAGTTTAGTGACGGATGGTTGCGTAACTTTAAAAAAAGGTACGACCTGGCCTTCTAGCGAATGTGCAGCGAGAGTGGTTCCGTTGACCAAACGCCCAAGACCAACTACCGTGCCGACAAGCTGTGCACACTGCTGTGCCAGTATCCACCAGAAAACGTCTTTAATTGTGACGAGACTTCACTTTTTTTATAAGATGCTGTCTGACAAGATGCTAGCTCTCTCTGCCGAACCCTGTCATGGGGGAAGCATAGCAAGGAGTGACTGACAGTTGTTGTAGCAGGCAACATGACGGGGACGCAGAAACTTCCACTTCTCGTGATAGGGAAATAAAAAAATTCAAGATGTTTTAAAGGCATCAAATTACTCCCCGTGTGCTATGAAGCAAATTTGAAGGCGTGGATTGCGCAAAACCTCTTCGAACAGCACCTTCGCAAGCTCGACCGCCGGTACGAGCAGCAAAATCACAAGGTGCTGATGTTCGTCGACAACTGTGGTGCCCATGGGGAGACATGTTGAAGGCTATGACAGTGGAGCTTTTGCCGCCTAACACGACAAGCGTGTTGCAACACATAGACCAGGGCGTGATCAAAAACTTGAAAGTTCATTACCAGTTGAACCTCCTGAATCGTATCCTGTTATGCCTTGACAGTAACAAAAACAACGTTGTGGATGTTCTGACGGCTATCAGCATGTTGTCCGTTGCCTGGTAGTCAGTGACTCAGGAAATGATCCACAACTGCTTCCGCCACACAGGATTTATTACTGGGATTGAGGAGGACAGTGCCACAGGCCAGAACACTGCGGTTGAGAGTCCGCCTACCGCAGCAGCGGACATCCTGGACGACCTTCGTGCTAGCGGGGTCGATGTAGTGGCGGGTACCTTTAAAGAGTTCGCCAACTTCAACAGTGCTGTTTTGCCTTGCGCAGAGTTAGACAATGACAAGATTGTTCGTCAGGTTTGCGAGCCGGCGCTGGCGGCCAGTGACTCCGACAATGATGCTCCGCCCGCACCACAGCCATCAAATGCGGACTAAGTGCAGGCCATATCGATGTTGTTGTCTGTCTACAGCAATGGCCAGACACTCGCAGTTGTACTGGCCAACGTGGTCACGCGTAAACGCGCGTTTGTGCAGACGTGCATAGACAGTTTTTTCGGGAAATCGGGCCAATAAAGTGCTTTCTTTTTTTCGTGTGAATCCGTTTTTTTTTTGGACTCTCAATAATTCGGGCTTTGTCGAGTCCAAATAAACGGTCAGCGACTGTATGTGGGTTCGATGTATCCGTGATTGATTGATTGATATGTGGGGTTTAATGTCCCAAAACCACCATATGATAATGAGAGACGCTGTAGTGAAGGGCTCCGGAAATTTTGACCTCCTGGGGTTCCTTAACAGGCACCCAAATCTGAGCATATGGGCCTACAACATTTCTGCCTTACGGAAATGCAGCCGCGGCAGCCGGGATTTGATCCCACAACCTGCGGGTCAGCAGTCGCGTACCTTAGCCACTAGACCAGCGCGGTGGGGCTGGATATATCCGTGTTCAACTGTATATGCACTCCAGTATATTTCATAGCATTTTGCACGTTGTAATACAAAAAAGAACAATATTGCGCGCAGTTGTAAAACATTTCCCACTGCTCCGTAGTCAAGGCCAAGATGTGCTCCGGTGGCCGTCTTATCGTTCGAAGATGCTTTGCAGCCGGCGCTAGTACACCGTGCCCCAGCGGCGTGGGGACCTTGCACGTAACCAGAGTAGCTATAAGATTGTGCCGAAAGGTCAGCAGCTACGCACTGTTGGCAGACGAGTCAACTTGAGCCCGTAAACAAAACAAACCCATGAATGGCTGCGGATGTCACAGGCTGACGCAAAACATTGTCGTCATAAAACTTGACGCTGATGTGCTGTCATTTTCGAACTCTATGCTCGTCCTCACTCAGATCAGGTGGGGTCGCAAGACAATTCTGAGTGGCGCGAGCGTTTTGCAGCGCAGGTGCGCATCCATGTGCGTGTGACAATGATGCCATTGGAGTGATGCTAAATGTGACCCTGTGCCTGATATAACAATGCAAGCGTAACCAAAGCTGCAGGAAATCGTCTGAGGAGGCCATATCGACACTTTAAACATGCGGCAGGCCTTTGGAAATATTTTTTGCGGAGAATTTTTTCTGATTTTTAGCAAAAGCTCTCTAATGAACATCTGGCATAAACTTTTGGCAATTATTACTGTTTAACCCTGTCAAATTGAAAAACTCACACTTTAATTCGATATTTGGCTTGCAAATGTTCTTTTCATCACAGAACTTCGATGTTACTGCAGCATAATTATGGGGGGCACGCAGTTTTGTCAAGTTCACCAGCCTAGTTCATTTTTTCGACGACACACGCACATTAGTTCACCAAAAGATTTGTGAAAAATCACTATGTTGCCGAAACGGGCTAATTGAAGTTGATGCTGAAAGTTGAATGGCTGGGCTAACTATCAGAAAGTGATAGGTGCACGAGAAGCAAATTCAATAAGACAAAATCGACGATCCGAAGCGTTGACCACTGGTAATCGATTTTAATAGGTGTGGTAACGAAAGAGTTAACAGCATTGCCAGTATTCTTCGTTGCCTTCTGATATTTCTTTGCATTGCCAAAAGTGTAATTGCACGTAAAAGTGATGGTAGAAAAGCTGAGAGGCTGGCCTGAATTCATTTTTTGGCCTGCTACTCAGCGTTAGAAACGGGGTGGAATAGAAAGTGATAGAAGGTGGTGTTGAATTAAAACCTTGAATCAATGAGGAAGGACCTTTGATAATTGAGGCATTGGATATATATAATAGCTGTAGCACTTGCATGTGTCAACCTTCGATCAATTGTCTTAACAGTTATTAGTCATGTGGACCGGCATGCATGGGGGATGGATGGGTTCACATAGGTGTGCACAGATATGTTTTCATGCCTTGCTGCTGTTGGTTGCTGTCTGTGATGTTTTCTAGTGTTTGCACACTTTTAGAATTAATACTTGCCAACTAGCTCAGCTCCCTGCTGCTCCATCACATGCAAAATTGCTTGCTCCGAAGAACAGAAGTTTCTGCCTCTCCAAAGAGCTCTGAAAATTGCTCTAAATCAGAACTCCTCGGTAGCATCACTGCCAGCACAGAGCATTTCTTGAGTCCCTGCAGTGACATAACTTTCTGGTGTCTCTATGACCGTTGCAGGCAATGGCTCTCACGCCTGGCAAATGATCTCTTTTGATAATATTTTTGCGAGATTATCACCAGATAGTAATTTTCCCAGTATGGTATGTTAGTGCGATTAGCACAGAGCCAGTACTTGTGAAAGCAATTATCTGAAAATGAAACCCTTGCCTCGGCTACACGAGAAACGAAGGCAACAAAATCAGGATCACATCATCAATGACGACAACAGCAAGGCGGTTCCTCTTGAAGGCTTTACTTTTGCGATCAATTTCTGTACCGCATCATAGGTGACATATTCTGCTTGAGATGCAAACATCACACGCTATGCTTTTGCTCACGGGTATCTGTAAAGATTTATTGGCGCCAAGTTCTGATTGAGGTGTCGTTGTGTAGGAAAGAAATAGAATAAAATTTTGACGACAAGACTTCGAGATGCGAGAAGAAAAAACTGAGTGTAGGCTACACCCCAACAATTCGAATGAAATGAAAAGAGTGCAGCCTTTATGGGGATTTATACAGGGGTTGATTGGGATAGCATCCCAAACACAATTAAATGTGTCAAAATGAATTTAGTGAATCGCAGCTCTTCCTCCCACTTGGTACTTCTGATCATGATGTTGTGGACACGTTGTTGTTCCAGGCTGTTTGACCGTGAAAAATGTGCTGGCTACAGCTTTGAAGTGCGGGCTTCAGACAGTGGCCGCTACCAGGCCCATTGGGCCCATGCACGCGTGCAAGTCACTGTAGTGGATGTCAACGACAACAGTCCCCGCTTTCTTGAATTTCCCTACGTGGCTCATGTGAGCCCCCATGCTCCCTTGGGATCCCAAGTAGCTCTGGTGCAAGCGCACGATGGAGACGACGGGCCCAATGCAGATGTATTCTACACGTGAGTTTGCTTTTCCTCTCACCTTTTTTTTTTTTTTTTAAACTATCCCTCACAAGCACATACTGCGAAATCATCCAAAAGATCTAGTAGCCTGAAAAAGTGAATTTGTGCTTACTGTATTTACTTGTGTAATGAACCCACCTTTTTTTTCAGAAATGTTGATGCCAATATGAAGGGAGGATTGATTACCTGAAAGAAAAAAAGTGACTAGATTTATAACAGCAAAAACTTGGCGTGAAGGTACTATTAAGAAATTTGCCTTGCTACCGCTGTTGGCCAAGCTACTGAGCTCTAAGTCTAAACCTCTTCGAGGACTTTGTTCTGCACAAGGGGAAACTCTTCTTGCTTTGGCCTACGAAATGCGCGACAAGCCCTTTTTGCAGCGCAAAGCTCGTCTTCTTTTCTCCAGTAGCGAACGCGGGCGGATCAATGCTGAAGTGTTGTTTAGCTGCTTGGTTCCCATGCTCCAGCGCATACTTGACCAATTTTAAAACCGACCGATTGTGCCCTGCACTGCACGTGTCCTACGGATTTCACTACAAAAAACACGATAACAAAAATGCAGCTTCGAAAGGCAGTAATGCACGTCACATTGGCACGGTTAAGCCGCTTGCCTTTTATTTTGTTTTTGCACCGCTGTGCTTGCATGGCGCCTTAAGCGAAGAGATTTTTGCTGTGTTCGAGAGATGGCGCTCTGCTGCAAAAGGCACGACTTTAAAATTTTGATCGTTGTCTGCGCTCGGGCCTGTTTAGCATGGTTGTTAAGCTATGTTTTGACATTTAGTGCAACGTTAATTTATGGTATTACAGTCGCCGACCGATTTTCCGGACTCCAAAAATTCGGACTTGTTGGATATTCCGGACTTCATAAATGCACCGTCGGGGATCCCATAGAGCTAATGCATTGTTTCGACCGATTTTTCGGGCGAATTCGCCCCTGAAAGTTCGATTTTTCGGACTAAATCGCTCGTTTCGTGCCACGCCCCAAGCCATTGTGAACGCCGCCATGTTGGATTTTCCGTCGGCTTGACTAAGCTTGACTAAGCTTGGTCTTCAGATGCCTTTCCTGCCTCCGAGATTAGAATGCGCACGCCATCATTTAAGTTTCGGAGGCCGTGTTTGCTTTTTAAAAGACGCGGTGATGGATGCCGTTTTTTTTGTCTTGCGTCAGCACTATCGTCATCACATCGCACGAGGAGGATGCGAAAGAAGGATTCTTTTATTGTCGTTGCAGCTTTTTTCAGTCCCCATTCTGCACGTGTTGTGTCGCGTAGCGTCGAGACGTTGTGTGCTTCGCAGCGGCTATCTGCGGCATCGAGTTTTGTGTTCTCGGTGCCATGGCTCCGCCATCTGTGCCATCGCGGGAGCCAGGTGGTGTGAAGAAGCGGGGGAAGTATACGACCCTGACGATAGAGAAGACAGCTGCCATAATCAAGCTAATAGAGAGTGGACGTTCGCAGCTAGATGTCGCTGGATGACGGTCGACGCCGGATGGCGGTCGTCGGCGGCGGAGATCGCCAACGCGGTGACAATTTTGTCGAGCGTTTACGGCGACGATGTCACCTTGGCGCAAATACGGGCAAACCAAGTTGCCTCCAAGCGTAGTTCGAGGCAAGGCAGCATCAAGGACTTTTTTAAACCTGCCTGATGCAATAAACTTCAGATTTTTGGCGAAAACAAATTTTTCGGACTGTTTGATTTTTCGTACTTTTTTTCGGTCCCCGCCAGGTCCGAAAAATCGGTCGGCGACTGTAGTGGCATAATGTAATGTTGTTTCAATCGTCAATGGCACTGGTTATTGCACTGAAATAAACTGTACAGATACATTAAAAATAGTTTTTTTTTAAGGACCAAGTTGAGGGGTGGGTGCATTATGTAGGTGGGTTCATTACGCAAGTAAATATAGTATTTACTTTATTTACTCTAGTGATCAAGTTGCCACAGCCACGTCTGAAACTGCTCCAAAGGCCTGCTGGTGGTGGATATTTTTGTCTATATGTTTGGTGCATGAAGTGAGTGCGTATTGTCACATGGTCGTGAAGTTGCAGATAGGAGTAGGCAGATTGAAGGCCGAGTTTTTATTTGGGTGAACTTGCTCGGGACACAGGAAGTTAAACTACAAGCAATACACGCTGAGCATTTATAGTGGTGAACAAAGCTTGGCCACCGATAATCTGATCATCAGCGGAACGCATTGTATATTAATACAGTAGCCGTCAAACCTTTCAGCATTGTCGCTTGTGCTCACATGAACTCTGTAACGAACTTGATTAGTATTTGTGCTCTGCGTGTGATTTCGACAGAATGACCTCAAATAATTGAACATTGTGATGCGACCTGTACGGAGCGCTGCTAGCTGTTTTAAAGCAACAAACGTGCTTGGCATTATTAATATGGTTTTGCAGGCAGGTGTGTGGGTGTATGGAGTACTAACGTAAAATTTTGAAGGAGAGATAACTTGTTGGATAGATTCTTGTAGATACACAAAATAATAATAGCTAAGAGAGCCTAGAACGTATCTAAAGAACCCCTGAGCCCAAAACTGAAACTTTAAAATGTTGGTGTTGTTTGATTGTTCTGTATACAGGGTACATCTTATTGATTATCAGTGCTGGATGTTATCTTTGATATATCTTGACTTCATTTTAAAGTAAGCGTGAGTGCTCATCTGAGTTGTCAGCACCTCGCAACACCACCACAAGCATGGCTTGAACCAAGGCTTCTTGTGAGGTTCCACCCATAGGGCCAGTCAGGGTGTCTACCAACCTGGAAAACCTGGAAAAGCCAGGGAATTTTCAAAAAATCTGGCCTGGTTATGGAAATTTATGGCAGTCTGTGCGACCGTCACAAAAATAAGCATTACAATTACACAAAGCTTAAAAAGCCACTCTTTTGGCTGCAACTACAGTGAACAGCTAAGAGATGTGTTGAAAAAGAAAGCAGTGCGCAACTGTTGCTTCTTGGTGAAGATGGGAAAGGATACACCTACCAAAAGAATACAAAGTTTACTGACATTATGGCACCCGCTGGGGGACCCTTGTTCAGAACAATATCCATAAAGAAGGCAAGGCCTATTTAAGTACGTGACGTGAGCACCAGAAGTACATTGTTTAAGTGTCGCATCACTCCTGTTCAGCATATGTGCAGCATATGTGCAGCTGTTCAGCATCATGCATGTGCTGGTGTTCCAGACGCACGCATGATGCAAGCTTGCTTTGGCCAGAACACGCGCACTTGACCAATCAGTTTGGTGGCCTGTAGATTCCACATGTTCCACAAGGGCATATCAGGTCACGCGTAGTTTTCTGACGTAATATTCGTGTTTTGTTTAACTCCATACCTTGAAATCAGTGGTCTCACCGCGGTGTACTAGCTGTCACAATTGTGGCAGCCTAAAGTAAAAAAAAGACAGTGGAAATTTTCGCTTGGAAACTTGTCCTTCGCGCTGTCTAAATTGCTCTCTAACTTCCATATTCGCACATACACTATTTTGATGTCTGTTGCTTATACATATGACACAGCATATGTGACTTTCCAATCACAACATTACTCACGTCGTTAAATTTGTGCATGTTTGTCTTGACGATGATTCGGGTCGGCTTGAAGGCCTTCTGGTTCGGCTAGGACAGCCATTAGCAGAGGGTTGCCGTGCTATGTAATGCATTTTATTATTGTTATTACTGTCATTATTATTATTGGTGATGCAATAGCAAACGTCCTCAGTTACACACTTATTAAGAAAAAGAACAAAAATTAGATAGAAAGAAAGAAAATTATGCAGTAAGGCTTTGTTCTTGCGACGTTGTTGTTAGTCATTGTAAGGTGCACAAAATACGCGAGCAGTAGTGTTTTCTTTTTGTCTTTTTTTTTTTTTTTGCTGAAGAGTATATACTAGAGGTGTGCAATTTAGACGGGGATCCAAAAATCTAGTAAATACAGCAATCCAGGTTGCATCAGATCCGATCCAATTCACATCCTAAACAGTAAAGTCACTAAAAACAGGTCAGTATAATCCAATACACATTCTAAGCGGCCTGGGTTGTAACCATTACGATTAACTAGAATATAGGTATTCAGTGACGGAACCGGTCTGGCTCTGGTGTCCTACTTTTACACAGATGCCACGAGATGGTGCAACTTCTGCGTTTTCGAGCAGCTTTGGCTGCATTGTAAAACAGTCGTTGGCTCCTTCGCACTTTTAACTCCTTCAAACTATTAGCTCCTTCAAAATTTTAAATTTCTGCTTCTTCCAAACAATAAACAGCCAACTTGCTTACTCTCTGACTCAGAGGTTGCATTTTGGTCAGATATACATATTTTTTCATACATATTTACTGCATGTGCTCAGACCATTCTGACTATTTATATACTTATTTTATGGGAGCGCCTGATTTTTTTACCACTCGAGGGTCTCGAGGAAGCGGACCTAACGGTCATGGAATTTGCTTTAAATGATCATGGAAAACCTGGAAAAGTCAGGGAATTTTGAAAAAGCCCATTGGTAGACACCCTGCCAGCAGTAGAGAGCATTAGTGCTTAGTATGCAAGCGCTTGGGTATGCGATAGGCTTGTGCCAATCGAGAATTGTAGATTCGAAGTGAATAGTGATCTTAGTTGAATAATTTCAAATCGAATTCGAATAGTGTTCATATCACATGTTATAAAAGAAAATGGGCATACTTATCATGACCTAGCTAACCAACACAATATATACTATATATATATTTTTTCAAAGTAAACAAGGCCTGCGCAAATGTCATTTTTTTGGTTCATTAGAAGTGGAAACAACTTGAAATAGTAGCAGTATTTGACGTTTGGCAAAATGCAAGAGATAACCAGTAAAATATGCTACGTTTTAATATTGTCACGGGATTATCAATACAACCTCTGCCCACAGATTCTCTGGATGTCAAGCTGAACCGATCACCAGGAACACGAGTTTTTGTTCTTGTCTTCTTTTTTGTCATTTCTTCTTTCTCAAAATGGCACATACACACAGT